ATGAAGTACCTACCTACCCTATGTATTTTGTATGATTGTATTCTGTTATAATCTTTTTTAAGATTACATATAGGTACCTTATACGTAAAAATTAGATATATTTATATCTAATATTAGGGATATGGCTATAAGCAGAGGCGCCGGTTTTTAGAAAAATTCGTGGGTGCTCATACTCATTTGATGACTCGTTTAACCCTTGAAATATCGCGCGCACACACGTGTATGCGTAAGGAAAAAGTCCTCGAAATGTTCTGCGCATACACGTGTATCAAGTTACTTTTTAGACTGTCTAACATTAGCTAGCATTGCCAGATGGAAAAAATTATTGACCAAGGGTTTGTTATTTCTTGCAACATTAAAAGATTTTTTCTAATATTTTATCGTGAACGAAGGAGAATAAAAAATGTTTTGTGATTGACGTGTCAGTTTTATTATGCAGTCATCTTACACATTGTGTCATTGTGTAAATTAATAATTGTGTGATAATTTAACTAACCTAAAAAATATGGTTTGGAAGATGAAATCACTGCCTATTATTTTGAGATATGACTTGTAGGGTTGCCAATTTTTATTGAATTTTCAAGGCAAAACACTCAACATTTCAGGAAAAAAACAAGAAAAAAAAAACGATAAAAATTAAAATAAACGTGTTCTTTAGAATTAGTTATGATCAACTAAAAATAATGTAAATGTTAACCAGTGCGGATGGTCGACAGTCTGTGCAATTATGTGCAAATTAGTTTGTTGGCATTAACTAATGTTTATAAATAAAAATAGACTGGAATTTTTACACGGAATGATTGACATATACAGGGTCGGAAAGTCCCCATGGTTCATCGGCCGTTACGTGAGAGCGATAAAGTAAGTCATAGAAATCCGTGCGATAGAGAAGGATGGCTATAATGAAGGCGTCTCATAGTCACCGCCCGTTTCGCCCTTCCACAAATAAGATCCACTTCCACTTGTAATTCAGCGACCGGTGGTCATCTTTGTTTTCGTCGTTTGGCTTTTCTTTAATAGATGTCACTACTTATACAATTTCGACTTCGGTATTCCGATATGTTAATACCATCCGTTAACAGAGGGCAGCACAACGCGTAACAAAGAAAACTTTTTACAGTAGCTAGTAGATACCTCTGTTTGTAAATCTAGTGACCTTGTTTCCCCTACTGAGAAGTTATTCAAATGGAGTATAGTGCTCAGCTGCATTTAAAGTTCATTTAGTTGTTATTTAAGTATACTTTTTAAAATGACTTAAAAATCCCAAGAAATAAAGCAAAATTCCCTATTTCCCCAATTCCAAAAAAATCTGTAGATCTGGCATCACTCTTTCTAGGGCTGCGCCTCACCTTAGACAAATTGTGCTGCCCTCTGTTAACGGATTGTATTAACATATCGGAATACGAAGTCGGAATTGTATAAGTAGTGACATCTATTACAGAAAAGGCAAACGACGAAAACAAAGATGACCACCGGTCGCTGAATTATAAGTGGAAGTGGATCTTATTTGTGGAAGGGCGAAACGGGCGGTGACTATGAGACGCCTTCATTATAGCCATCCTTCTCTATCGCACGGATTTCTACGACTTACTTTATCGCTCTCACGTAACGGCCGATGAACCATGGGGACTTTCCGACCCTGTATATTTTAAAAAATTTTGATTTTCCTTGACTATTAAATTTGATACATTTTGTTATGCATGATATAATACAGAACTGTAGTTATAATTAGAGTTGTCACAATCGGTCCGCTAGCCATTGGCACCGATTTCCCTGTAATTTAACGATTTCTTTTACGATTTTAATTGTCTTTTGATGCATAATTGTGTGTAATTATGTCGAGCGTAGTTAATGCAAAACCGCATACTATACTGACGAAAAAAAAAATACCGGTAAGTAGCTATAAAATTATTAACATATAATGTATTGTATTGTTTATTGACAATTTTATTTACAAAAGGTACATGTTGTGTCACAAAATATAAATAAAATATAAAAAGGAAACAGTAAGTGAATATGTAAAATTTATTTAAATGTTAATTTATTCATATACTCCTGAACGCTATAAAAACAATTTGCAGTTAAGTAACGCTTGGTAAATGTTTTAAGTTTAAAATTACATTGTTTGTGTTGAGCGAATCTACTTACTAAAATATTTAAAAGTTTTAAGTCCAAACTGTTTTTTTTAGCAATGTCAATCCTGGATTTCAGGACAATCAGATCATGTATTATAATTATGATTAATCATAATTGTGTCTAAACTCCTTTATGTTACGGTGAATGTTGAGTAATAACTCTAGTATACAGAGTCGGAAAGTCCCTATGGATCATCGGCCGTTACGTGAGAGCGATAAAGAAAGTCATAGAAATCCGTGCGATAGAGAAAGATGGCTATAATATATAGATCCACTTCTTATTTGTGGAAGGGCGAAATGGGCGGTGACTATTACGCCTTCATTATAACTTTCTTTCTCTATCGCACGGATTTCTATGACTTACTTTATCGCTCTCACGTAACGGCCGATGAACCATGGGGACTTTTCCACCCTGTATACAAACAGGGTAATGGAAGAATTGTTAGTTTTTTAAATAATGGCTGAGAATGTGTACTTGGTGAAGAATTACTGATAATGCGTATAGCCGATTTTTGTAAGCAGAAGACTCTTAAACGGTGTTGAATTCCCCCAAAATAAAATCACGTAAGTCAAGTGGCTATTTATTAGAGAGACATAAACAGATCTTAGAATATCATGAGGCAAGCAATTTTTAAGTTGTAATACGAAGATTTCAGAAGATAATTTTGAGCACTATGTATCAATATGTGCTTTCCAAATTAGGTGATCATCCAGCATTAAACCTAGCAGTTTCACTGACGTAGAGCTAATAGTTCGTCTATTGGATGTGAAGTTCATGTGTTGACTTTTAGACTCATTTAACATTAGTTTGATTATTGAAAACCAATCTTTAGCTTTGTCAAATAGGGAAACATTAAAATATATGTCACTACTTGATAAGATCGTAGTATCATCTGCAAATAATACACAATGACCGTCAAGAGCACCAGGAAGGTCATTAAACAAGAAAGAGTAGAGGCCCCAGAACAGACTCCTGCGGTACACCATTATTTACAGGAACAATGTTAGAATGTTTACCTCGCATCAAACAAACTGTCTCCTGTTTGCAAAATAAGACGCAAACAAATTTAATGCATTGGACCTCACTTCATAGAACTCAAGCTTACGAAGAAGTATGGCAGTAGACACTGAGTCGAAAGCTTTAGATAAGTCACACATGATTGCCTCGGTTGTAAGGCCTTGATTAAAGCCGTCAACAACCGTACCAATTACGTCAGCTATTGCGCTAATTGTTGACTCATCTTTTATAATTATAATTATCTCTAGCACTTTGGACAACTAAGGAACAATAGCGAGCGGTCTATAATTATCTGTGATATCAGTATCACCTTTTTTAAACATTGAAATAATTTTAGTTACTTTGAAAGCATCAGGTCAACACCCATCCTCATTGCACTTATTGAATAGGATAGACAGCGGGTGTGTTATTATTTTGCTTTTTATATTACAACAGTCCAAAGTATGAGATTTTTTTAGTTTCAATATAGCCTCATTTACATCAGATTCACGTATGCCAGACATAAAAAAAGAAAAATATGGTTTACAAGTAGATATTAGGATCTGAATTAGATATTTTAATAGAATTATATGACATTTGAAACATTGGCAAAAAAATTATTGAAATCATCTGGAATAATAGAAGTAGTCCTCGATTTTGGCTTACTCTTTCCGAGTTAATTATTTCCCAGCACATTCCTGCTTTATTAGAATTTAAAATAACTTCAGAATAAGTTTTCCTTTTTTCATCCTTTAATGCCCGTTTGTACTCACTTCGTGCTAGTTTATAAACTGACCAATCATGGTCTAATTTAGAAATTAAAGCTCTACTTTTTAGATAAAATATATTCTTTCGCATGTCATTTGATATAGTAAATAATAAAACATTTCATTCCTACTGAAATAAATACAAGCCCGACTGAAAATTACCATGTCCTAACAGCTTGGAAGTAGATTATTTAATTATGGAAATATTACATCAGTAGATGTCGTCGTTTGCTTCAGATTAAGATATTTTATCACTGCCGCCACGAATAAGTTTTGCTGAAACAAGGGTGGATAGATATAATAATGCGATTTATAACGGATACCATCCAGATGGTGGAACCGATGGCAACGATGCGTAAAACAATTTATGTGTTTCACAATGATTCAATGATATAAATCTTATAATCATTGTTCACTTTAATTTATGTTGATGATCCGCACGCTTTTGGTGAGCGGCAAATTATGACACATCTAGTTATAATTAGTTACTGTTTTTTAAATTATTCTTGAATATAATTATTTTTGTCAATGGCTCTTTTTTGCATTAACTACATACGTCCAATTAACGTATAAGAGGTGGTGAATATAACATGACCAGAGGATGAGGCTACTTATAAATACAAATAAAAAAGTTGTGATCAATTCTTTACTCAGTAACGATCATTTATGTTCTCTAGGATTTTAAAATTTTAATATCTTTTTCGTCAATATTATCCGTTAGGTACCAATAAGTGTGCTAAATTTGAAAAAAATTGATCTAATGTAATAATAATTTATATTCAGTCAGTATAATATCATTAATTAGCGAATTATAGAATATAAGGAAAATCATGTAAAAATTTACTAAATCATCTTCCCTTTTAACTTCACACAATGTAGGTTGATTTAAAAATAAGTAGCAATGCTGATAGTGAAGGAATATAACTTAATATGTTAACTCCTGTTTACACCACTTGGTGGCAGCATACACAAAAATTAAAGTGCAGTTTAAAAAACTAATTATAACGCGACTCCTTATTTGATAAAAAAATATTAATATAAAATTTCTAGTCAGGAGAACTGCTAAAAAAACTGACCCCCATATAAAATTACATAAAATAATTACTTTAAGATTATGTAACTCTTTTAATAGTGTCATAGGAATGTATAAAATTATTTTTATGAGTGAAATCAGCTCCTAATTTTTGCAATTTATTACAACAAAAGGATACATTATAAATAGGCAAGTTCTGTGAACTTACTTTCTTTTCTCAGAATGTCATTGCACATCATTACATAAATCATAAAATAGTCTTTACATTCAATGCAATGGCAAATACAATAATACTGTTATGGCAGCATAATTATATTCTTCCTAGAATTGTGATCCAATTATACTTTATAGATGTTCAAATTTTGTTACTTTGTTTCATAAATATTTAAAACTGTTTCTTAAATGTCTTAAAATATTGAGAATCAACTCCTTATATCGTTATAGGCACTTTTTTATCCGTAGTTCCATAAATTAGCTGTATGTGACTAGATAACCATACAATCTTTACAGTGTTCGTTATCCTCTGGTGATACTGAATTAGTCAAATTGTGATGCTTTATCATATGATCTTTCAAATAATACCGCCTTATAAAACCTTTCCCACACACTGAACATTTATGAGGTCTTTCTTCAGTGTGGATCATCATGTGATAATTTAAATGCAATGGCCTTAAAAATTCTTTTTCACATATTGTACACACATATGGTTTGACTCCTGAATGTACTGCTTCATGTCTTTGCAAATCCACTTTCTTTATAAATGCTTTCTCACACTTTGTACATGGAAAAGGTCGTTCACCTAAAAGATGTACACATATTCAGTCATATAAACTCAAAAATTGAAAAAATATATTTTTAATATATAGTTCATACATATTTTTTTGTATTACAAAATATGTATATATGGCATTTAATGCATTTGAAATCCGTATTTTACAAGCTTGCACGTTTAGTCCAGTTGCTCAGGGTTTTTACCTCCGAATTTTTTATAACTGAACCGATTGACGTGAAATTTTGACTGAATGTGGGGAATGCCTCAAGGAACAAAACTTATATAGTGCCGAAGTGTGCCTTTGCCTTGGGGGTGGTTGCCACCCCTTCTTGGGGGTGGAAATTTTTATGTCCAAAATAACCACTGGAATCGATAGAGAAATCAATTTTAAGTAACAAATGTTATATAAAGTTTTTTGGATAATCCAATACTTTCCGAGTAATTCATCATTGAAAATGTTGATTTTTTACTGAAAAAGTGCTTGTTTTCGGACAGTTTTTTGCAAATAACTCTGAAACCATTGGATTTAACGAAAAAGTTGTAATGAACAAAA